TAAATTGCACCACTATCTTTTTCTGCTAGGTAGGAAATTTCTTCTAACGTAGCTTCTTTTATTACTAGACCATACTGTTAGAGTAGTTTAAGTCCTTCTTTCATAGGGAGATAATCTAAACATTACCATGAACGGGCTTATGTAACAGTTATGTTCCCACCCCTGCCCTCCAACAGAAGCATGCTATGAGTCATGTACTTAGCCACAGTACCTTTTTAAAGCTGTAACTGGCAGCAAACAGTGAATAATTTTCTCAGATTTAACCATGCGCTGTAGGAGGTGGATGAGGAACTTGGTTAGTTAAACACTGACTGAAGCTTTACCCAACCCAAACTATTACTTGCTCTTGAAGCCCTGAAAGCTTCTTGCCGGAGCCCACATTTCCACTAGGCATTAAGAAATACAAACAGAAACTAATTCGTAGTATGACAGGATGTACAGACCCACTTGCTTAAGAACAGTTTTCTTCTGCTTTCTGTATGACTATCTGATGCAAGCAGAAGCCAACAAAATTTCATTTGTAAATGTAATTTCATTTGTACTGGTGGTGGAAGTTGTTGCTGACCATGAACACTCCTGGGCCTTTGCCACGAAAGGGAAACGGGCACTTCAAAGGTTGAGACAACCAAATCCTCAAAGGATTAAGAACAAAAATGATGCTTGCCAGAGAAGCTAGCCAAAAAATTGTATTGTATATTTATAAGTACAAGTATGCACACATTTTTATTTTGAACTGTAGTATTTCTTCAATTAGTCCAGAACAGGCTGGATGCCACCATTTATTTTGGTGGTAAACTGGAAGCTTCCCTCAAAGATGCTTTGGTAAAACAAAATGGTGATGGGTCTCTGCATGACAAATACCAAAATCACATTTAAGTGTTCTAAAAAGTTTTGAGTGATTAGTTTTTCCTACAAGGCTCTATTCATGGGCAATCTTCAAATACCTGAAGGGTATTTATACAGAGGATGTAAGTGGGTTTCTCTCAGTGGCCAAAGGTTACAGGACTAGGAGCAATGGCTTCAGGCTTGGGCATGGGAAATATAGAATTTAGGTTGGACATTAGGAGAAACTTCTTGACTGAGGGTGGTCAAGCATTGACACAAGCTACTTAGAGAAGCAGTGGAATCTCCATCCCTGGAAGTGTTCAAGAGTAGGTAGGACAGACAATTGTTTGGGATGGTTTAGTTAGGGATGATCCTGCCTTGAGCAGGGGGATGAAATAGATAACCTTGTGAGGCTCCTTCCAGCTCTACTTTCCTATGATCCTATATATGGCTCATTTCCAACAGAGCCAAAACTTCTTAGCTGTTCTTGTCATAAGGAAAGGTCCTTGTTTTGGCCTGACACTGAACTGAATACCCAGTTGTCAGTACTCTACGAGTTCCAAAAAAAGTGAATTTCTGGCTCAGAAATTTCTTCTAAACCCCTGAACAACTCCAAATATTTTTATAGTCCTCAAGAATGTGCTGAGGCAGAATGAAAAAAGTTGTCAGCTTATAGCTGGACTTAACTGCCTGCAAATTGTCAGTTCAAGTAAGGGTGATTCTAGTTGCTTCTTATCTGGAGCAGTAACAAGTGGCATCCCTAAAAAGATTCTGGAAAAGTATTTTATATATTTCATAAACATATGTGCTATATAAAAATTGTTTCCCTTGAGCCTAAAACAACAGAGATAGGGTGGATTCAGACTTCTCTAGTGAGCTACAATATACTGGTAGAACTCATTTTATTCATTCTGCTCTGGGATGTTAAAAACCTGTGCAGTTTCTTGGGCAAAGTTCCCAAGAGAACATCAAGAAGTGCAAAAGTCTGTAGTACCCTTGAGAAGGGAAGAGAAGTCAAGAAAACCATAACTAGGAATTAAATCGGAACAAGTGCCTTTGAGAACGTCTCACCTCTTCCTCCAGGAATATGATTTAATAGCTGAACTAGTGTTTTAAGTGGAGCCAAAAACCACCTCTATAGAGCAAATCTCAGATAAAATGAAGTTTTGAACTCTACACCTAAACTGGACTCCCTTACGATGAAGCTACAGAAGAATACAATGGTATCGGTTTAATCCATGGAAAACAAAAAAGGAAGTAAAAAAAATAGCTTGTTTGGCGACTAGCTCAGCACATGGAAAGAGAGCAAACAATGATTAGTCAAGGGAGGAAGGGTTTTTATACCTTTTGCATATACCTCCTAAAGGTAAATTACTGCTGAAAAATTGCTCGTGACCTTATAACTAGGCACACAACTTCTGCTTTGGGAAGTTGTCAAGGCAATCTCATGAAGGAGAACAATCCATTCCCTCTTGAACATGGCAGTGTCTTGGGTTGCATATCTCACAACCAATGACAATGTACAACTGGCAAATATTAACAAAAACACCTGTAGTACATTGGATAAAATAAGATGCCAAGTACTTAAACATTCACGTTAAGCTGGCTCTTATTTTGAGTGAATTTCTCTAGTCTGCAGGAAATTCTGTAGTAGGTTGATAAATCCATAGCTGCAGAATCACGGAAGACTATAATTCACAAGCAAAAATGAAAATTCACTGATGTTTATTAGGAGAAAGATGTGCACTTATTTTAAAAACCCCCACAAATAGAGGTTAACACTTCTGTTTTCAAGAGAAGGTTTGTTCAATGTTCTTACTTACGCGAGACCACATCAGTGCCTTATTACATTTTCAGCATTTAGTATACATCTGTCAGTTCCTTGCTTTCAAGCAGTAACAAAAGCCACAGAAGAGAATTCAAGGACATCTCTCTTGTAACAATGCTTAAACTGTGGATTACAGAATTAGAATTTTAAAACGTACCTCAAATTTATTTCACATAATAGTATTTTTCTTTTTTGAAATGAAACCTATTCTATCAGAGGCCTCTCTTTTTTAGCCTTTTTTATACTATTGTAACAATTAGCTTGCATTCTGTTAGCACCTCTTTTCCAAAGTGCTTTTTGAGATTTTTGAACAAGGTGGGCACTATGTTTTAAATAGTTAATGATGTACATGACCTGGAGTCTTATTTATAAAAGAATATATATTTTTCTCTTTGATATATTTACAGAAACAAGTGTCAAACCTAAATACTGGCCCTATCTTGATACAAGTCCCATCAGAAAGTGATATATTTGACATCATCTTAAATTTTCCCATTATAACCTTGCCAAGTGATCTAGGAATTCTATTTAATAAAAATGCTCAAAACACATGGTTAGAAACAAGTGAACATTTACTGTGGTTAGAAAACAAAATAAAGACGAGTTTCCAGATGGGACAATGGTCAGTTTTTAGGCCTGCCACAGGCTGGACAGTATCACTTGTACTGGAAAACTACAACCTTACTAATATAATGTAATAATGCACTTGATCCCATGTTGGTTTAACAGGTGTAATATACTATATTCACATTATTCTAAACTCTCCTTAAGAGCTAAAATGAGCTATAGTGAAGAAATTTATTTTTTCTGCTCTCACCTTAACTGAACATTTTAAATTATTACTTTTGACTTGATACTTTGAATGCTGTCTATTAAGATAATCAGTCTGCAATTCTTTTATAGCATTGGCAAATATGAAAATGTATGTACAAGTGTTAGTAAATATCCAAAATGCCACATTTCCTTCTTAAGAATGTATTCAATAAAGTGTTAGGCATGTCACAAACCAAGCTTTTGTAAACAAGCGATAAATTACTGATTATAATCAATTCTGATTATAACCAGGTACATATTAATCATAAAATACACATTCTCTAATTATTTTTCCATGGCCCACATATGCAAATATATGAGATAAACCACTTAAAATTATCAAGAGCATATAAACCTACTCAACAAGAATTTATGAAATATAAAACAAAATAAGATGCCAACGTCAAGAAAAAAGTGACACTTTGTTCCACTGCAAAGTGAAACCAAACAATTTATTTGTGCTAAATGAATGGAAAGAATGTATTCAGAATACATTTCTTTTTACATTGTACCAGTTTAGGCTGCTATATAAGCATTCATTAATTCCATGTTGTGCTACTTTCTATGTTCTCTGTTTTGTTTCTACCAAGCAATACAACATTTCTGGCTGTTACGCCAATATATTCCTATAAGATGATCATTATACCATATTTTTCTAATAGTCTTTTGAACATTTAGAATACTTGTTCAAACTTTATTTTAGGGGAATCACAATTAATATATTTTAACAAGAAAAAAAGGTGTTCTCTACAATCAACATTGGCTTCTGCAGCAGAAATCAAAGAGCACACTTTAATCAGCCACTAGTAACCTGTTGGCAGGACCACACTTGCAGAAGTTCTTTATGATAGAACACACAGTATGGATAGCTTACAAGTTAATGTAAATGGTGAAATGAAACCAATCAAATTTTAAGGTCCATAAATCATACATTCTATATATTCTGACAAGCAAATTTCCCCACATTTAACTTCAAACTGTACCATACATTTGAGGTGTTTATTCTTAAGAGGAGAAAGTATGGATGCATCACGTGTGCTGAATACTGAACCTGTATTAAGCTTATTTATTAGGTGATACAATAATAATATGCATCTTGGGCACTAATTAAAGATGACTGACTCATTTTTGCACTAAAAGCTGTATCTTCAAATTACTGAAATGTAGTGCTGATTTACCATATGCTTGGTAAATACCATAATATTTAGGAGTTTATAATAAGTCTATCATGCCTGTAATTTTATGCAAATTGTTATGAAAAAAAATTAAAAAAAGGTATCCCTTTAATTTTATAAACCTAAAAGCCAGGAAAACAAAGCTTTGGAGCCTAGCAAAACAACATACTGTTGTATTACCAAATAGAGTAGCAAATATTCCAGCCAGAGAATGGACATACATGTAGTTCAAGTAAACACTGATGGAAATTTCTGTTAAGTTAGTGTTGTAGACCCAAAACATTGGCTGCATTTTATACAAATGTTTACAACACAATTAACAGTGAAGCCTATATAACCTCAGTGCAAATAAGTCAAATCCAAATACGCCAAGTAAGCCTTTGGCTTTTAGTAAACTGCTCTGTGTTATGAGTCCAAATTTGAATACAGATTGCTGAGCACATGCACTAAGGCTGAGAGGAGGGATGCACTGAATGCTGAAAAGTGGACGACTGCAACGCTGTTGATTGAGCCATAGGCTGCACAGGTGGTGGTGGTGGTGGTGGTGGTGGTGGTGGAGGAGGAGGAGGTGGTGGCTGCACCGGGGTCTGCGTGTTTGGAGAAGGAGGTGGAGTGGGACGCTTAAATTTGTCAGGGCTGTTGCTTCTTCGTGGTGATGGCCTCTGCAGAGCAAATATTGAAATAATGTTTAACAATTCTAAAAAACTTTGAGTGATCAGGTCTTTAACACAACTCAGTGCACTGGTTAAGACAAAATTCAAAATAACAATTAACTGAGGAAGCCGATAAAGACACTGAACAGACTCACAATACAGTGAAATCCACTCAAATTTTGAGTTTGATGTTACTCTGCAAGACATGAGTGAAGCACACATTTAAGGCAAAAATATTCACTGGCAACTAGTGAGAAAGGAAGAAGTAGCATACACCTTCAGGGCATCACTAACTGATGGCCTACGGGGAAAAAAATTAATGGGGAAGCTCAATTAAGGCAGCAATTCATCTATGCTTGGCTAAGCAGCAGGTGCTAATGGGCAGCTCACTGAATTTTGGCAGGGTGCAAATTCAAAGCAAATCATGCATATCTAAATTCATATGGCAAGATTACAAATGATTTTAAAATGTTCATGTTTGATAATGAGGTAAAGTACAAATCTAACAAGGTCTTCTGTATGATAAAAGTGTCACAAATGGGACTACATCCTTTTGAGCTCCTACAACTAAACAGTGGCTAAACTGTAGAATTTCTCCCTACCAGACATCTGGTAAGTCTGTTGGGGTTGGGGGAGGGAAGGATTGGGGCTGGGACAAGCTGCCCAGGTGGGGCAATCGCCAGGCAGGGAAGGCGGGGAGGGGGAGTGTTACT